CTAGATGCGGCTGAAATACCATAGCATGTGTTTTGAGATTAGAGAATGGAAAAGTATCTGCAAATCCATCTCTAATGTCATTAGCCCTTGTGTGCTGTTGCTATTGCATCACATCTGCTTCTCTGTTGTCCACATTCTCACTCATCCCATTATCTCAGTCAAGGTATTGTTCATCATTATTACAACTCCAGAAATGTTGTGCAGGATGCCACATGCACAGACAATTTGGCTAGCCAGAGTAATATAGACATCACAGACCTTCTGGAGACATCTCCATCTGTCTTTTAAGCCTCCAAAGGCACACTCTACAGTCATGCGTGCCTGGCTATGACGATGGTTGAAACTTATGTGCTCTTCAGTTACTCTGAAAATCTTAATTAAACTCCAGTAAATGTACTTGTGTAAAATGATACTCAGATAAAAGTAAAAGGTAAGTCAGTTAAAATATACTCTGCGTAAATGTTACAGGTACGCATTACACAATAAATTACTCTAAATGTCAAGGTATACACTAGCAGAACAACCGAGCCCTTTTTGTCAAACCAACAACAAGTTCCATTTCTATAGACCGCACTTTGCAGCCTGTGGTAGCACGTGAGAGAGACGTTTGCCTTCTCTTTTTTCCTAAACTTAACTAAGTAGTTTGGTCCCTAAATCTAACCAAGTAGTAAGGCTCTCTACCAGGCAAACTTCTTCCACTTAATTAAGTTAAACCTGAAAGTGCAAACACACGTGCATCATGGATCCTACCTTGCTGCCCAACATTTATGTCCCAAAACTTTTAATTTGTTGTCTACAACGCCTTGCAATATAATTGAATAATGCCCCTTTCTATTGTAATAATCTGCTGGTGCATCATGAGGAGCTCTAATATTATTATGCGTTCCGTCAACAGGTTCCTGCATGTCGAAGATACTGAACCACGAATTGCCCCTGGTGGCTGTTCCACCAGTGTATGAAAGTGTTTGAATGGTGAATGCGATGTAGTGTAAAAGCGCTTTGAGTGATCGAAAAGACTATAGCAATACTGAGCATTTACATTTACATGTACAAAGGATGCTGGAATGTGTTATTACTTGAGGTAGGTGGATTTGGTATACAGTATATACAATATGAACAATAATGGAATGGGTTCGTATGGGCTCGGTTGTTGTGTTCCAGATCAGAAGCGATTGTTGTGTTCACATATTACCAAATGAACCGAGCCAAAGGGGAAACGCCCCCTTGTTTCAGAACAATGTCTTCAATCGATCCAGGTGTGAAAGCACTCCCTTCTGCTACGTAGCACACAATATACATTAATATAGAAGCAATTATAAAAATGGTAAACAGAAATAAACTATATTCAACGGAGCAGGGCTGGGGGTGAATTTGAGCTTAAAAGTCTGATAGCTTGGGGGAAAAAGCTGCTCTGCAGTCTGGTGTTGCGGTAGCAGAAACTTCTATATCTCCTCCCAGAAGGCAGCAGGGTGAACAGGGTGTGCTGGGTGGGTACTGTCCTTTAGTATCCTTTGGGCTCTGTGTAGGCATCTCACCTCACCGATATCAGTGGGTACCAATGATCTTCTGAGCAGTTTTAATCACCTGCTGCAGAGCCCTCCGGTCCTGGGCCGTGCACATCCCATGCCAGTTTGTGATGTTTCCAGTCAGGATGCTTTCTATTGCTCCTCTGTAAAATCTGATAAGAACTTGGCACGGGAATTTGGCCTTCATAAGCTTCCTCAAGAAATACAGTTGAAAGTATGTAATACAAAGTATTGTTGTAGGTCATGCAGGCTGTTGCTATGATCAAAGCTTAGCGTGCCACAGCACTGCCAAATTGTGTTAAGTGGACCAAAAGGCAAAAGGCCATTTATGCAGCTTAGAGTGACCAAAGGTGACTTTCCATTTCCACCACAGGGCTGGTTCAGCCAGACTACAGATAAAACCTGTGGGAAACATTAACCCGTTTGTCAGTGGGCCCCAAACACCCCATGGGCCCCAAACACCCATATATTACCTGGTGGTGTTGTATTTGCAATTCAACTGATGCCTCTAAGTTCTCCTAGTAGTACATTCAAAGCTGTACTGTTTTGGCCTTTGGCATTTTCTTTGGGCATCCTGAGAGGTATGATGGCCTTTCAGTCTCGCTTAGTGCCTCCCCAACATACCAGCCTCTGTGAGCTCCACTGGCACCAAGAGGAAAAAAAATATATCAAGGGCCTGTCCATGTAAAACGACTCCAAAACCCACTTGAGCTGAATACCTGGAATGAGGCACTACAAAGTAAGGTGTGATGTATGTGTTATTTAAAGACATTAGGCTGCATGTTCCAATGTTCTGTGAAAATGTTGCAACCAGCAATATAGCTTTTTATCAAATTGGAGGATCATCATCCTGAGAGGATCATGAATTAATATTTAGCCTCACACCATATACTAGTCAGTGTAAAGATTGTATGTGAAATGTGAAAGTAAGTGTGTGATAAGATTCCGGGGTTAGGGTTAAGATTAATTTACAGTTTTAAATTAGTGAGGAAACCTTTCTCTTCAGTCAGGTGTGCGAGGCCTTTCTGCTGTTTTTGACATGACAGTTGTGACTGCAGATTGCTGACATCATCCTTAATTTTACCGGATTGTGAAGTGTTGGATAGCTCAGTGTGCAAAGTTGCGCCCCATGTACGAAGGCTTGGTCCTTCTCAAAACGGCCTGGGGTCAAGGTCAAAGTTTATTTATATAGCACATGTACAAACAGTCACTACTGCCCCAAAGTGCTGTACAGATACAGAGAACAGCATAAGATAAAAAGCATAATAAATAGCCGAATAAAAAACAGATAAAACAAAAACTATACTTAAAGCAATAACAAAAATAAAATGTCACAGCTCAGCATGTGTTAAAAGCCAGTTTTTAAAAGTGATTTAAAGCTCTCAATAGAGGTAGCTGCTCTAATGTTGAGAGGAAGAGAGTTCCAGAGCTTAAGACCTGCTACTGAAAAAGCTCTGTCCCCTCTGGTTTTCAGTCTGGACCTTGGACAGTAAAAGCAGCTGGTCTGACTGGAGTGTGCAAAATGGAATCCGGCCTGCTGCCCTTTGCTGCATGTCACCCCTCTGTCTCTCCTTGACTGTTCTATCCAATTAAAGACTAGACTCTCCCAGCTGAGCGTGCCTGACTCCATCTGCAGGTGGATCACAAACTTCCTGTCTGACAGGAAGCTGTCATGATCCTGTCTGTGTGTCTTGTTTGGGAGTCTGAGTTTAGTTCCATGTCCTTAGTTCATGTTTTGGTAATCATTCCTGGTCCTTGTTTTGGGATTTGGTCTCCTCTGTACTCTGTGTTCTAGTTCTGTGTTCTCATTTAGGTTCTGGTTCTTTGTAACTTGTGTGTGTTTCTGTCTTCTTGGTTATTCACTCTGCCCCATGTCTGCTTGTCTAGTGTTCTCTGTTTCCCCCTGCTGTCTCTCTGCCTGCCTGCTTGTCTATCTGTCTCTGCCTCGTTAGCCCTGATCCCGCTCACCTGTGTTGCTCCCGCCCCGCTCGTTAGTCCCTGTGTATATGTATGCCTGCTTGTCTCTCCAGTCTTTGTCATGTCCTTGCGTCTAAAGTTGAGTGTTCCTGCTTGTTCCTTGTCTTCCTAGTTCTGGATTATTCCCTGTGTTTTGGATTGCCTTGTGTTCTGGACTACCTTTGTTGGACTTTGCCTCGAGCTCCTTGTAAGCCTGTTTAAGTTAGTTTTTTTGAGTTAATAAACATTTTTGGACTGCAACCTCCTCGCCTTGCCATTGTCTGCATTTGGGTCCTCGCCCAAGTCTGCACTCAGCGCCCCAACCCATGACAGAAGCAGCAGGTGAAGAAGGGAATACATGTCAATAACTCTTGGACCAACAGCACTGCTTACCCTCAAGGCTTCATTCTTTTCCCTCTGCAATTCTCCAAGCTGCACCTCCAGTCACCAGTGTGTCAAGCTCTTTGAGTTTGAGCATGATACCACCCTCATTGGGATCATCCCTCATTAGGATCATCACACTGATGAATGCGCCTACAGGTGGGAGATTGACCATGTGGTGATCTGGTGCAGCCAGAACAGTCTGGAGCTCAATGCTGTCAAGACAGTGGAGATGGTTGAATATCAACTCCCTCGCAAATAAAAGCACAGCAGAGGATGTACTTCCTGTGGCGGCTGAGGAAGTTCAACCTGCCAAAGACAATGATGGTGCACTTCTAAACAGCCATCATTGAGTCTTCTTTACCTCCTCCATCACCATCTGGTACGCTTATCATTTTGAAGAAGGTGATTGGCTACTATCTGCCATACCTCCAGGACCAATACCCCTTCGGGACTATGAGGCCAGCAGAAGATTGAGAGAAAGCACAAAAGAAAAGATTGTGGCTGATCCTTCCCACCCTGGACACAAACCATTTCAGACACTCCCCTCTGACAGGACCAAAACCTCTCTCAACAAGAACAATTTCTTCCATCTGCAGCAATGTAAACCTACTTGGTTTACACATACAACTGATTCTGATGCTGATTTTAGTTCTCGTCTGGTTCATGTTCACACTGACCTTTCACAGGGCACATGGAAGAAGTTTGCCTGGTAGAGAGCCTTACTACTTGGTTAGATTTAGGGACCAAACTACTTAAGTTTAGGAAAAAAGAGAAGGCAAATGTCTCTCTCACGTGCTACCACAGGCTGCAAAGTGCGGTCTATAGAAATGGAACTTGTTGGTTTGACAAAAAGGGCTCGGTTGTTCTGCTAGTGTATACCTTGACATTTAGAGTAATTTATTGTGTAATGCATACCTGTGACATTTACGCAGAGTATATTTTAACTGACCTACCTTTTACTTTTATCTGAGTATCATTTTACACAAGTACATTTACTGGAGTTTAATTAAACCATTTAGCTCATAATGGCTACAAATCTTAAGTAAATATCTCCCCATTGAATGCAGTAATTGCACTAAAGTGACATGATACAAATACATGAAGATAAATGCATGAGTGTATATCTGTCCACAGGATCTCACACCAAATGTTGATTCTCCGGCATCAGAAAAGATTCGTCATCTGCAGGAGCAGAACAGCATCATGCGGGCCGTGATTACCCACATGAGGAAGGACATGGAGGGCCTCAGCCATCTCCTACCCCATCCCCAGGCTCAGCCACAGGCCTCCTCTGCTCAGCCAGTTCATCATCCAGGAGCCCCTGCCACCAGCTCCATTGCCCCTACAGCTAACACTCAGATGGCAGCAGGTGAAGACTCTTTTACAAAAACATGGTTAATAATTTGTAGCATCCAGTAATTATGTTGTGGCAATCTTCACTGACCTTTTTATCGTTTGGATCCAGGGACCGGTTTCACAAAAATAGATTATTACTGTGGCTTAGATCTAACTAATAGTTAAACTTTAGATAAATGTCTACATGAATCTGTTGCACAAAGCTGTGTAGTTTTTGGACTAATTTGCTAATTCTGGATAAGCTAAGACTTTTTACAAACCAAAAAAAACATGACTGACAACAATTTTATCAAACCGTTCACCCTGTGGATAGGGTGTCCCACAATTAATACTTACACTTCTACCAATCTTACATGAACAAAATTATAATTCAGTACTGAAAAGACAGGTTTTTGGAAACTGAATTATTTAGAAAATATTACCTATTAAGACACTCAGACATTTTTTACTTGATGTCTATCGGCTTTCAAACAGGTGCATCTCAGAAATTTGCATTGGCCAAAATTTTAGCAACACCTATAAGTCTTGGCTTCCATTGGGTTTCAAATGCATATTAAATTCTTGGGGGGGGGGGAATTGTCACATACATCCCACTAGTTACTATATGTGGTTTCCCCCAAACCAGACACACAGGTGTGCTGAAAAAAACTATATAACTTTCAAGAGTGTACAGGTGAAGCTCAAAAAATGTGAATTTTAAAATAAATATTTTTTCAGTTGAAAATGTATTTTGTGAAAACTTTATCTTAATTGGTCTTTTTCATCTGGTATGTGGTATGAATCCTATAGGTGATCTGTGCCTGGAGAAATGCGCCAACCCCTCTGCTTTGACAAAGCAGGAGTTCACAGTTGCACATTCAGAATCTGCTTGCGCCAACATCATAGAACAGGTACTACTGAAGGAAATCGGTGAACTAGTGAATTTGACCAGTCAGTTCCATTCAGGTAAATGCCTGGACCTGTAGTGTGAAATTAAAGAGAATTCTCTTTTATTGGATCTCAGTATAATTTTGCCCCAGCAAAAATGGTAGTTCACCAGTCAGTTGTGAGAGATGATGGTAATAGATTATGTTATGCTGCAATAACCCAATTCCTTCAAGTTTCATTGCATTTTCATTCCAGAGTGCACTGGTGCGACAGCTACAAGACCACCTGTGTTTGCGGCAGCAGCAGTCCTCAGGTCTGATGCACGGTGATGTGTTTGAAAATGTCCAGGGTGCTAAAAGCAGCCTTCCTCTCCTGCGTACCAGGCTGAAGCAGGCAGCGTTCTGTATCGCCCGTCTGAGCAGAGAGAAACAGCAGCTGATAGAGATGGGGAATCACCTCCGTGCCCAGATCACCACTGCTGGACTACATGGTACAATAACAGACACACTGCACCACCACTGCACACACTACATTAAAGATGTGCAGTGTTAGCTACATCATGTGTAAATAAAATGACAATATCAGTAGGTAGGGTTACTAACCACAAGTCATCTGTTGGATTATTGGGCTGTTGATCTGCAACAACAACAAGGCCATGTAAGATTTGTGATTCTAAAAACTCACATCTTGTGAGAAACAGAGTTGCCATGTTATTAGGTACACGTAGCTACATTCAGTGCAACTCAAGAACAACTGCACTAAAACCTAGCTTGTTCCTTTTCTGTTAACACTGTGCCAGAGATGTGCAATTTCAAATCAAGTCATTTTAGAGGCTGTTTTCACTGCTGTTTTTTATATTTACCACCTAAATTTGTCATAGCTTTACTAATAGACTATTTTTATTGTCTTATAGGGTGCATTGCATTCACCTAATGTGGCTCCACACTAACTTACATCTCTTCTGTTGTCTTAGCTCCTCTCAGCAGAGATACAAGATATTTACCAAATGGGACATCCTGGCTCACTTGCTTGAGGAGACAGCAAATGACTGTCAAATGCGTAGAAATAATTACATGACAGTTTAAAATCACTCTGTGCTTGATGAATGCTGCTCCACTATCAACTGTGGATCTGTTGCAGCATCACCTGGTTCTGCAATATGACATGGTGCTACTAAGATGCTAAGATGAGACTAATTAAATTCATATATTATAAAAGAACAGAAAGGACAGGAGGGAGCAATTTTTATTGCTGAGTAAAAATAGACAAAAGAATTGACAAAGTTGCAAAAAGTGTTATTAATTATGTGTGTTTATAAATTATTCACACGCATAATATTTTTATTTTAGAAATAAATATAGAGCCACTGTTGGTGCTGTTATTCCTGGTTCCAGAGCGAGTTTACAGCATTAGAATATTATAGGACAGCCATTTCCACAACAGCTGGCCACTGCTTGTACTGCCCCATCAGATCAGCTGACTAAACAGATTCCTATCCAAGGGGTATTGCTGTGCAGCAGAGAATACACCTAGCTCCAAACTCCTCCTGGGGCGTTTTTGCCTAAATAATTTCAGTCCCCGGCCAGAGAACAGTTAAGCGAGGACAGTAGGAATCATAATTAACAGAATGGAAAACACATCCAGAACTCTGTATGTCACACAGAACCAGAGAAGGACTCTTCTGCAGAGAAACAAGGAGACCAACATGACCGGCTGTCTGCTCTGGAACAGCTGCAGTACCAGCTCACCACACAGGTATCTGTTCCAATTCAGTTTTCTAAGTCTCTTAAAATCAATCTTTCACCAATAGATGGTAATGGACTGAACTTCTATAGCACCTTTCTTGCCTTCCGACCAAAAATCTTTACACTACATGTCACATTCACCCCATTCATATGCATTTTGGGGTTCAACACTTTAACATGCAGACTGGAGGATACAGAGATCGAACCACCGACCTTTCAATTAGTGGACAACCCGCTCTACCTACAGCCGCTCCAGTTATTCTGCTCCTTCCTCTCAGTTCCTTCAAAGGCTCTTCTTTATTTCACACTTACACTTACTCAATACCTCAATTTCAGCTTCATATTGTACCTCTTCAGATTTGCCAAGTGTGCTGGTAACTAACAAAGAGGGTTGAGTTTACTACTTAACTGGTAATGACAAGCTGGACATGAGGATCTTCTTTGCCTCTGTTGGCCATTTGGGTGCCATAACTTGTTTGAATGCAAATACTGCTGCACCTCTGAACATGCCCTATAAATGAATGGAACATCTTAAAAAGTTAACATGGTCTGCTGCAACTCAGTGATGCTTTCTTTTCAATCTTCAGATATATTTTGTGTGGTGCACTTACAAAGAGTTGACCCCCACAACACAAGATTTCACTTTTTCCCAGAATGAAATAAGCACATGCGTTGTGTTGATTTTTGTAAACTGCTGCTAAAGATATTTTGTATTATATTTAAGTCCAAATATCAGATTAATAAATGTCAGTCAGATGTAAAGTATGGAGGACGTGGTTAGGCTAGCTTACCTTGAAGGCTGGAATAAGGGGTAGATATCGGAAGCCGTGTCTGTCCAAAGTTCCAGAATCAAATCACCGCACAGAAATGCTTGTCTGATGGATAAACTGTAGAGCCAGGTTAGCTTTTTTCCTTCCCTCTGCCTCCAGTCTCTCTGCTGACATTCTCAACGGAATCACACTTACATTACTGGGGAAGACATGCTTGGAATACATTCTTTGTTTCTTGTTTTGCTTATTGTTTGTCTACCTAATTAACATTTTACAGGAACTCTGGGAAGAAAATTTTATCTTCTATCACAGAATGGCAAATTTCTGTAGTCTGTAAATCTTGGCAACTAACATGAACAACCCATGCCTTCCAGGTTAAGCTCAACACTAGTAAGTGAAAAGAAGAAGCTGGTGACACAATGTGTAATCAAGGTCAGGAGGACAAAAACAAATAGATAAAATATAAAAGACAACCAATAAGAACCATTATCTGAAAGACCTGAGAGGAAGAATGATCCTGGTGTTGTGTACTTCTCTGCGCTGCCTCCAGAGAGCACAGTGGGTCCACTAATGTTTGTGTGCCTGCAGGAGCTGCAGTATGCTTTGAGACAGAGGGCTTGCACTGATCTCATCCTCACTGAAACCAGCAACCGAGGTCCTGCAACAAATGGGGCTGCCAACCCCTGGTCCCTGGGGCGCAAAACCACAGACAGGCCTGAGGTATCAGCAGAGTCTTAAATACTGCGTTAACTGATAAGCAATAACAACTCAGTTGCACGTTTCACATTGAAGGGATATTTGTTGGTGCAAAACGGTATCTGAGTTCAGTGAATGTGTTTTGTTTTTATATATAGATAGATGGATGGATAGATCTATATATACGTAAAAACAATGACTGTCCAGCTCTCTTCTTCAGACATCCAAGAACAAAGAGACCACTCCTCCAATCAGTCAGTCACAAAACTCATTGGACATGGGGCCACATCCCCTTTCAGGTCTGACAAGGTCTGAGTTGTCATCAGAGGAATCACTGCGGTTGTTAAAGGAGCTGTGGGAGATACTCGACCATGGACTCAGTCCCTCTGTCTTCTCAGAAGGTAACCACATCAGAATAACTACCATCCAGCCTGGACTCTCACCAGTTTGCTTTGCTTTCAGAGCCCACAGATCCACAGAGGATGCCATCTTCACTGCCCTCCAATCAGCCCTCACACACCGTGAGAAAAGCAACACCTACATCATAATGCTGTTTGTGGATTTCAGCTCAGCATTCAACACCATCTCCCCATGAAAATGATCAGCAAACACAGCACTCTGCAACTGGATATTGGACTTCCACACAAACAGACCACAGTCAGTTCAGATTGGTGGACTCACCTCCACTCTAGTGCTCAACACTGGAGCCCCCATGACTGCATCCCCCGACATGGAGAGAACTCGATGAGACTTCATATCAGGAGGAAATTGATAATCTTGTAGAGTGGTGCTCAGAGAACAACCTGCTGCTCAGCGTCAGCAAAACTAAGGAGCTGATCATTGATTTTAGGAAGGAGATAAAGACACACACTCCTGTCTACATCAGTGGAAACTGAGGTGGAGCAGGTGAACAGTTTGAGGTTCCTGGGAATCAGCATCACAGAGAACCTGACATGGTCATCTCACATCTTCTTGTATCAGGTTACCACAATAAAAGGGCCCCATATTTTCATGTAGATATCTTGCCTAGCAGCTGATAACATAATCTTTCATAGGATGAAATTTTTGCTATATCATCCAACCATTCCTTCACTGATATGTCTCCTTAACTTTTCCAGTGTAGCAGCACTATCCTACATCCAGTAATAAGTGCTATTCTGCACCAGGAGTTCTGGTGGGCGTTTAGAGCAGTTACCTTTGGCAGCATACTTAATAAGCAAAGCATTTGGTCCCTGTACCAGTGAACAAGTCATCACTGTACTGACAAAGGTGGTAATGTCAGACCATAGATCTATCACGGGGCATGAAGACAACATGTATAAGAGAGCGGCACAAGTAGTATCACAGCTCCAACACTAGTCAGAGCTTCTGGTTCTAGCCTTGCCATTTAACTTGGGGTCCAATATTTATTAATTTTTTTATATTATATTTTTTATACTATAAAAAAAACTTATACACTCTATAATATTTTTTATATTAAGAGTGTATACGTCTTTCTTTCATGGCCATAGTCTTATGTTAGGAACCTGTCCTCAGAAAATCTAAATCAGTAACCCCTTCATTCCAGTATGAATACAGTTGCAGTGGTTGGATAAGTGCTGGACAGATGGATGGAGGGTTGTTGCCCAATTAATGGCTGGAGTCTGTGTCAACTCACCAGGGAACAATTTCTCAACCAGAGTAGCTGCCAGATCAGGCTGAGTCGCTGTGATTACAATCTAATCATTGTGAAACCAGCCAAACCTAGCTGGGTCAAGGTTTGTTACAGATATTAAGCAGTTTTATGAGATAAAGTTCCTCTTTTCTGTGTACAGAGGTCCTGTGCAGTTTTACCATGAAAACAGAACAAGAGCAATAGATGTTGTGAAATCTCTAGCTAGATCTTCATTTGCATCAGAATGCACATAGGGATAGGCAACCATGGGTTAATGTGCTACATCCGAAATGTTAACGTGAACTATTTAAAAAAAAAAAAAAAAAAAAAAAAACTTACAACAACTGTAATTATTCCACATTCACATTACTCTTGTAAGACAAAAAGAATAATGTGAATAACACTAAAAATTCCCACAAAACAGTATCTCCATTTGAATTTCAAATCAAGTTAACATTTACTGTATGCTTTATTCTGAGTCCTTATCATCCCAGCCCAACTCAAGAGTTGTTGAGGTGTTCTGCTCCTGAAAGCCTTTGTTGTGGAGAACTGTGCTCTCTCTGTGATGAAGGGGTAGGGTATAGGAAGGAAGACTCACAGGTGAAATTTCAAAAGGATCGTTGTATTTACCCAAAAAGGATGAAAACAATTTACAAAATACACAACAAAAGTCTGGGCCCATAAAAGAAATTACCTCACCGATATCACTGATGCTCAGTAGATGATTGATTGATTGACAATGATCTAATCACCCGCTGTCCTGGACCATGCACATCCCATGCCAGTTGGTGATGTTTCTAGTCAGGATGCTTTCTATTGCTCCTCTGTAAAAGCTGACAAGAACTTGGCGTGGGAATTTGGCCTACTACTATGTAGATAGAAATGGCTCATTCTAAGGTAGTAAAAAAATAATGGTTCATTATGTAGGGTCTTTATAGACCACTGAAAATATAGATATGGATCTTATATAGCATTTCTGTCACTAGATCCTCAGAAATATTACACACTGGACCTTTAAGTAGTACAGCCTTTTCTGAGCTTTCTTCACTAGCGTGGAGATGTGAGACGACCATGTCAGGTTCTCTGTGAAGCTGTTTCCCAGGAACCTGAAACTGTTCACCTGCTTCACCTCAGCTTCACTGATGTAGACAGGAGTGTGTCTCCACCTCCTTTTTCCTGAAATCAATGATCCCTTTTTGGTTTTGCTGATGCTGAGCAGCAGGTTGTTCTCTGAGCACCACTCTATAAGATTATGAATTTCCTCCCGATATTAAGTCTCATCATTGTTTGATATTCGGCCGATGATGGTGGTGTCGTCCGCAAACTTCACATCAGTGTTCTCTCCATGTCGGGGGATGCAGTTGTGGGTGTACAGCGTGAACAGGAGGGTTCTGAGCACACAGCCATGGGGGGCTCTGGTGTTGAGCACTAGAGTGATTGCTAATCTGAACTGTCTGGGGTCTGTTTGTAAGGATGTCCAGTAACCAGTTGCAGGTTGTGGTACCCAAGCCCACAGTGCTGAGTTTGCTGATCAGTTTCATGGGGAGATTGTGTTGAGCTGAAATCCACAAACAGCATTCTGATGTAGATGTTGCTTTTCTCAAGGTGTGTGAGGGCTGAGTGGGGGGCAGTGGAGAAGGCATCCTCTGTGGATCTGTGGGCTCTGAAAACAAACTGGTGAGAGTCCAGGGTGGCTGGAATGTTGTTCTTTACGTGCTGAAGAACCAATTTCTCAAAGCACTTCATCAGAATGGGGATGAGACTAGACACTGCACACTTTACGGTGCAGGGACAATGGTGGCTGTTTTAAAGCGCGGGACACACTCTCCTTAGACAGTGATATGTTAAAGATGTCAGTAATAACATCAACTAGGTTGGCACAGGTTTGTAGTATACTGCCAGGGATGTTATTAGCCCAGCAGTTTTACTCATACTCAGCAGGATTCTTCTCAGATCTGCTGGAGATGGAGTAGACTTTATAGCTGACTCCTGATCTCCTGCCACATATTTTTAGTGTTGCTGGTGTCTCTCTCCATTCTGTTGATGTCTCGCTCTGATGGTGTTGTATGCTTACCAAAAAGCAGCTTTTTAATGTTCTTTTTAATGGCTGATCAGACCATTTTCTGAGGATAACACAAAGACAGGCATTACCAACTGAACCATGAATAACCCAATGCAGGACAATGAATCAAAATATAAATCATTTAGCAAGTATCCAAAACAAAATCACCTTTATCTAAGTGAAGGATGTAAATGCTTTTCCTGTCACTGATGGTCACAGACCTCAGATCACTGATCCACTTGGACACCCACAAATTATAGCCTACACTTGATTAAAGATACCAGTAAATGAAAATGTTTCATCTGTAAAAGCGATTATAATTTCATCTCTCTTGTCTGCATCTGAAGATGAGCTGAGCTGGAGGGAGATGGCTGAGTCGGGTGGTGATGGAGTCCATCCCCCAACCAAGGTCCAGCAGAGTACGAACCCCTTTACATCTCCATCAAAGCACTAGGAGGATCAGCAAGATCAGAAATTACAATGTCTGACACACATACAGGACAGTCTGTCAGTATATTGGTCATGGTTAGCACTACTGGATCGGTTCAATCTTCTATGTCACTGGAGGAGCTTTGTCAAGTCTGAGAAAATCCCTGGTTATGTCATAGTGATGTCATCAGGATTATCTCAGCCACAAATTTCTAACAGCAACTACAATATCATACTATGAACTAAAAGTATTTCTAATCATCTGCTGCTTCGATTTTTACCATTCATTCTTTTAAAGCCAATATGTATAGCTTATTATTTCATTATAGCTTCTTCCAAGTGATCCTGACAGCATAAGTACACACAATAGTAAAAGCACAGACAAGAGAAATTCACTCCAAATCAATAAATACCAAAACACAATATTCTTCATTACATTATAGAATAAAGATTATGGTAAGAAGATATTATTATATTTGAATGCTCCTTCAAACATCAGAGCTCACATGTCTGAACAGTAAAGGACTACTGCGGACTGTGTATAATACTTATTATTTTTAAATGTATATATTGTTGAAGGCAGTTTTGCATGTTTTATTGTATTGTTAGTAAATTCACCTTTTTTATTTTCTTTGTTTTTCCAAAAATAGTTCAGTTTCGAGTTTGTCAAATTGTCTGTTTTCATTGTGATCTCAGCAATAAAATCTGACAGCGACTCGTAAGGGAAGAAAGTCAAAGAAAGTTGTGAATGGGGTCCTGACTGTTGAGAATATTTCTTAGGTGTCAAGACAGGTCTAGCTTAGTGTAATGTAGTTGACCCCATAAGTGTTTGACATTATAGCTTTAGGTAGTTCTCACATGTACTTGTCCTCGTCAAGAAGACAACAATAGACTGATTAGCTAAAGACAGTAGCTCAGACGTCAGGCTAGCAGATATCAGTGTTCTCTGGGAATCTTACAAGGTTGAGCCATACAAGAATGTTTACAAGAACTAACTCCACAATTCCACAGATTAGAGTACAACTCATGGATAGTGATAGATTCCAATATGACGAAGCATTGGAATCTAAACATCAGATAGATAGTTGTTCTAGGTGAAGGTGACCTAATAAAGAAACCTACAGGCACTAGGTGGCAGACAGAAACATAAAAGGGACCACAAGATGTTCTCCTTCAGATTTGGTGTTGGCATTTGACGTGTTCACATGTTGTATGCTGGCACTGTATCTCCTCAAACCATGCTAAGTCTTCATCAGTCTCTAAAACTTCTTCACACCTGACAGCTGGCTCACAATAATTCTCAACACTGACCAAAACTAGGGCTCCCTGGTGGTTTGTGGTTAAAGCACCAACCATAAACTGCAGCGTCCCTGGTTTGTGTCTGGCCGGGGACCCTGGTTACATGTCATCCCTAGTCTCTCTCTCCACTCATTTCCTGTCATCTCACTACTTTCAACTATCCAGTAAAGACATACATACAATACCCTACACATTGTTGGAGTTTCTTTTCACTGTGGGTACCAGTAAATGAGCAGAAATCCAATATATTTTCAGAACATGTATTAATCTGGATTTTTTTGTTGATTAAAATGCCATCTCTCTTCTTTAAACTATCTGATGTCTCAGCTATCAGATTCCTCTTCATGGTGACTCATACAAAAATGATGCTACAGAGCACACAATCCACAGTTATGTGACTGTGGGCTTTAAAATTTGGGCTTTAAAATTTCTAGCAAGCAAAATGGGCTATAAAATGAATTCCTTTGAACACAAACTACATCTTTTAAACTCTGTATATTTGGTGTGCATTAATATTATTGTCCAGCCAGTCCAGTAAGTAATAAAATGCTACCTAATTTTAGCCAAAGCACCCTTCTGTCCGTCTCTCTATTGATCACAGGGTCATTGTGTGCTGTTATCACTAACGCTGCCACAGCAGGTGATTAGGAAAAACCTTCCTTAGAACATCATGCTATCCGAAATTATGAACTCCAGTAACCCCAAGAAGTCAGACGAGCTTTCCCTGGTACGTCATCACTTGGGTCCCGCCTTTTAATCATCCTATCTCCTAACAGCACCCGCCCGTTTATTATGATTGGAGGAAGCCTTACACCCTTGCTCCGTGATTGGACAATTTACATGCCATCCAAAATAGTTCAATGTGTGTACCACGTGTGCTGATGCCGGTACGTTCACGTTTATTGTAAAGCTTAGTGGGATTAAGAAGACAGAAGAATGTTTAAGATTTTATGACATATTTATGTTTTAGGCCCAGAGTGGTCAACATGTAATTGCTGGTGGTGGATGTGACAAAGTACACCATTACTGTATGTGAAGATTCTCAGTCATCCAGATCATGGTTATCCAGCCTACCTTGGATACACTATTATTGTGTATTTGACATTATCACTGACACTGGATGCTCCAGAAATAGTTTTTATATATTGTAGTAAGAAAATTCTCAAAACGGAACTATTAATTTAAATATTTCAAAATGAAATCGAAAGATATCCAATACATGCAGTTTAATTATAACAATGCATGGTTCAAGGGATGTTAACGACTGTTACAGTCAGTCAGTCCAGGTTTCTAAAGGTTGGACTTCAACATTACTCAGGTCTGTATCAAGGCGTCACTTTGTGTTGAAAAGTGGTGGAAAAATAAGGGCTCAGATTAGGGATGTGACAATACACTCCTCGAAAAACGAGAAGATATTCTAACACTTTTTTGAAGAAAAATCCAGTGCTGAGATTTATCAGTGGTGGTCCTCCCTCAGATTTTGAGCATTAAACACTTAATTTCCTGCCTTCTGGAGACATTTTCTGAACCAATTTATGGTGTATGTCTTTATTTAAATAAAAGTAAACACAAATTGACAGGTGACATTTCAAAATATAAAAATATATGTAATGCAGTAATCAACTATTTTTTTTTAGCTTAAGGTACTTTTTAAGAAAATGCACATTTTTTCCTTCTATATTCTTTGCATTGCATGTTTTTGCATTTTGCAAACTTTTCTCAAAGCATTTTGATTTATTAGTTAACATTTGTTGTTGCAAGCTATTTCTTTTAACATTCTTTCAACAAACGATTTCAAAAAGTGATGGGGACAAAATCAAGCATTTCAGAAATTGATGGGGACATGTCCCCAGCATCCCCAGTGGAAATGAGACCTATGGTATCACCAGAGAAAGCCTTGCCTTCCAAATGAGCCCTTCTAAGTTCTGAGGACCACAACATTAAAAGATGGCAATTAGACTTTGTGTCATGTTGGTGATCATTAAGGCATTTAACACCTAACGTCCACCCATGCAGAACTGAGGGTGCTGCAACTGGGCGAAGATATTTCTGGACATGTCCGTTAGACATGTTATAGCCTACATGTTAGGTGGATAGCCTCCTTAAAATTCACCGTAGACTATGTCTTTGGACAACCAACACAAAATAATTAGCTGCAGTCAAATGTGACTACACGTTCTTATTTTGTCTATAAGGCAAATGAACGCTTTTCACATTCATTTGTTAGGTCTGGCAGAGAACAGAAGGAGCTTGAACTCCAGTAACCCTGTCTGAACGTTACATTTTTTTTCTCTCTGGGTGACAACGGGGGCGTTCAGCGAATGACTCCATCACTGGCTGGATCCGAGAGCCCTGCCTCTTTTCTCATTGGACTGTGCAGCCAAGCCAAGCTGTCAGCCCATGTGGCGTGGCCAGGGCAGAATGTGAGACATTTAAATTCATCAGACAAAAAAAGATTCAAAGAAGCGGAGGGCTAACGTTACCCCCACAGACAGAGACACGGCAGAGGTAGACATTCCTCATTACAGTAACTGTTAGCTAACGGAAATACATGACAAACGAGCGCTAAGATTTGACAAGTGCTTCAAATAATTCGGGATCTTTCAGGAACGTCAAACCAGTCCGGACTGCACAGGTAAGATGCTAAGTCATTAGCTGCGGCATTCAGCTGCTAACACCGTCGCGGTTTTAACGGTATATAAAAAAGAATGATTATTTTATTAACTTACTGTTATGACTTGCTAGATAGCGTTAACGCTTAGTCGATTCTGCTTTTGGCTTAAAAAAAAAAGTAACTATTTAATTAACGGTATGACTTGACAGTTTTTCTTTGTCAACATGCTAGGTAAGTTAACGTTATGTTAGTTACATTCTGCTTAAGGCAACTTTTATTTCCATGAATTCTAACTTTTGGAAATGTCTGTCTTGCTTCCCCTTGATGGAGATAATCGATGTTCGTTCGATATTCAAGCCCCAAAAAATTATTGTACTCCTCATATTGCTTAACGTTATTCTCAAATAGTAGGCATTTTATTATGAGAAAGAAACCATAGACGGTGATAAATGCTTCTTTAAATCAACCCCGCAGTTGATGTGACACTTCACCAAGGGCAGATCATCAGCAGTTCAACTTGTCCTGTAGCTGCCAGTGTCCCCCCGGAAAATCCTGTAATATATAGCTGTGGACCTGCCTGAGAGGGTGGATCCAGTAACTGCTGCAGGGTTTGACCAAGCAGATTTCAAGAAATTGTCTTGCTAGTCCTTGTGCCTGGATTCAGTAGCTTATTTAGCCCTCTGTGTTGGACATCCACCCTGATTTTACTCCAGTCAGCATGCTGCTTCAGATAAACCTGCCTGGTGAAATCCTGCTATCCAAAACAAAAGTGTAGTGCAAGGTGGATCACTGGTGCTTTCACTATGACATTTTGTCTCAGGAGTGAGCTGCTGATGATAAGCCATGATTGAGACCCTACAGGTAGGTAGCTTTTGGACTTGCAGCTCTCTGCGGATTGGGTGACTAGAGAGTGAATGTCTCATTCATTCTTCATACCCACTGTTTCCTCCGCTGATTTGATGGTAGCTTTTGCTTGCGTGTTACTGTAGGGCATGGCTGCTAGATGAGAACAAACAAAATGAAAGCCATTATTATTTATATATAAATTTCTTCATGTATAGTGACTGACTACAACATGGTTGCGTTAAACCCAAAAATAATTGACATGACTTAAAAACATACATTCATTGTAGTTTGCTCACTTTAACACGTGGATGAGGAATTAGCTGTGTGTGTGTGTGGTGGTAGGGGGGAGGTCATGAAAAGAAACTAGCAGGCAGTCCACCATCTTTCTTCTCAACCACATTGCCAGCATGCCTTGTCTGTGAGGATCATGTAATACAGTATAATACAAACATACCAATTTAACAACAAAACATCATAACAGCAGTGAGTGTACATGTGCGAAAGAGAGAGCTGAGAAAGAGAAACTGGTCTGGAACTGAAGTGAACTGGTTACAACTCTGCAATCCACAAACAAGTTTGTCCTCTTCATTTAGAGGTGGGTGTATATTTCCAACTTCAAGTTATGTTATGGAGGTTGTGTGACAAGTCAAGTCTTGTTGTTGGATGAGCTCAGCAGTGTGATATTCAGAATTTTAGGGCTGATAATAAAGATAACTGTAGAAGAGACTGCAGACAGTCCTTGTTGGATAGAATAAGGAGCAAGCATGAGGCTGCGTTGCTAAGTAACTTTACAGTATACGTATTGATCAGTCTAGCTTGCAGCCTGTGGATATAGTCTCCTTATGGCTCCAGTCATGTGCATGGAGTTAGTGTGTGATCTGGGTCAGGTAATGCTAGATATTTCACTGAAGGTGCTACATTAGGTCTAATCCCAGGCCAGTGCATCTATCCTTGGGCCCAAATCCCTTCAGCTACTGAGCCACAGAAAGGGGCAGGACAGCCTGTCGTACTGTGGCCATCCTGCTTCTACCTATAGGTTCGGTCTGATCCTCATGGCCTGTAGTTATAAATAATACAAACTTTTTACCATATTATCCTGTACTGCTGAACCCAACCGATTGTTCAGCTTTTGTTAAAATTCTTAAATCAGTCCTATGCAATCAGGTATTATTGGTGAACTGGATTTCCAAAAGAGAAATAAAGTATTTTTACCTATTAGAAAATGAATTGACAATGTTAACAATCAATTCATGCTTAAGCTAGCTATTCTACCAAACTGCAAAAAGTTCTGGCAGCATGTGGAGGAGGCTTGTTAATGATGTAGCCTATTGAAACCAACGTGGTACTGAATGACATTTGCACTGGTGTTCTTCACTGTGGCTTTACCTGGCAAGTGCCTGTAAAATATCCACCGTGTCCACGTCTTGTAAATTAAAATCAGATAACATCTCTCTCTGTGTTTCTCTGCAAAATGCTAAAATGGGCAGCCAAAAATACCTGTGTGGCTGCCCTAGTAAAGTCTATATGTTATCACTGCAAAAATCACAATATAGTTGACAAGTGTGCTGTGTACAGGCCTGAATGCTAGACCGCTGCAGTGAGGCTCTGTCATGCATAGTTTGGGTCCACTTCCAAACCAAGCAGAGTTATTTAGCATGGTCACCTTTATCCTGTGACCAAACACGTTTGTCGTGATGTTCTATTCTAATGTTCTATTCCATGATGACAGTGCCCACATCTGCTCGCCATGAAGGCCCACTGATGGTTTGATGAAATATATTTGAATCATGTGCTTTTGCGTATGAACAACATTGAAGCTGGTCTGGAGGTTGTAGTGGAGCAGTACCAGGGGTGGAAATTAACTTCTTGGCTCACCTGCCAAGGTGGCTGGTAGATGGGGGGAAAAAATCCACCCACTAAACATATTTTTGTACTGGCCAAAATAATAAATTGCCTTTTGTGTCACATAAACATTTGTTTCTGGCCTTTTAATTGAGATAACAAGGTATTATGTCAAATACAAACAGAGTGAAATTTGAAGCAAAATTATATTATTGCTATTAAATGTACTTAAAACATAACTAAATGACAATTGTTGGGCTTCTGTAAATAACATCAGAGTACGGTCTAGACCTGCTCTTTTATGAAAAGCGCTGTGAGATAACTGTTGTGATTTGGCACAATATAAATAAAATTTAATTTAACTGAATTAAATTGTTTCATAAACTTACAAGATGCTTAGTAATCATTCAAAATAAATCACTGCTCACTCTTGTCATGCTTTATCAACTTAAACCTGCTCGTCAGACTGCTCACTTTCTAGTGTCAGACGCACCACTGTCTGACACACTGACTGGACCACCAACTACCCAGCTAAAAGCTAAAAACACTCCAGGACATCCTTGTAAAAGAGATTAAAAATCTCAATGGATTTCTTTCCTGGTAAAATAAAGGTTAAATAAAAAAACTCCTAGTACATCCTTGGTAATTAGCTCCTAACACTAGCTTTCACGCTACCTTATTTCACCCCCCGTGAAATAAGGTAGCGTGAAAGCTAGTGTTTGAGTTATGTGTGAGTTATGAAAGCTATGGAGCAGATTTTATCCGCCTCTGAGCAGGGAAAGTTGGTGACAGACAGAAGACAGAAAGATCTGTTTATGAAAGCCACAGCCGACATGCGGCGCGCTGCTGGTTCCTGTAAAGCCGGACCGCTATGTGAAAGCAAACATGATAAAGGCCTGGGATAAAGGCCTTTTCACATGGGATGAAGCTGCAAACTTTTGTTCAGTATGCGAATGCAACATAAATGCGGATATTCTTCTATCCCCTCCTGACTCCTTTCGCCTGTCCCCTAATGCCCACCCCTTACAAATCTACTCCAATCAAACACAGGCAACCAATGAACGTCCCTAATCCATGTGTTAAATGATTTTAGGTACCTTGGTACATCGGGGTCCAATTTAAGTTAGACACAACCAACAAGAATGCCGGTCTGCTGCTAATTACAGTCAATAGAAACTATATGACGAATATATTTACCCGCTAATATGGCGGGTAGCCTTCCAACATTCCGCCTAATATACTACCAAACAGTTGTGGACAGCCGACGTGAACGCAGTCAGTGACGTTTTATAGAGGAGACACTCCACTTTAAGAATCCACAGTACAGCTCCATAGTGAAAGCCCATAACGCCAAAGATGCCGTTTTTATCCCACCCTGCTTTTAACACCCGAGGCGGGAAACATATTTAAGCCAATCGTGTGGTTCCACTGATAGAAGGGTCTAAGTGGAAGTATAACTGGTGGGGAAAAACGCTTTTTAAACCTTTTTTTTTGTTTTTTAGCGCAAAGTTATCAAACACTTTCGACAGCCCCGTTCCTGGAAAAACAAGAGCGAGTTGCGCCACCAGCAGCTGAATCGGTAAGACAGAACAACAGGGAAAGTTCGAGGAGCGTGTGGGTTTGGCTAACATTAGCTGGCTATTTAGCTAAATTGGTGCCTTTTATTGAAACACGTTCAATTTTTCATAAAGCCGATGCTCTCGTCAGTGTCACTTTTTGTGAACAGACCAATCGCAAAAAAAAGTTTGATGTGCTGCAACAAACTTTATACATGTTGAACTCATTGTTTTGCATAAACGGTTATGATTATTGACGAGTTAGTAGCCTGCCCAAAATCAAGGTTGGAGACTTATCATGTAGCCTAGAGCATTTTTCTTAAAAGTTAATGAATAAAAAACAACCCCAAACTAAAACAGCTGTAATTTGAATTAATATTATACTAGTGGTAAGTTACATACTATATGAAATTATATTGAATATAGCAACATAATGAATATATTAATATCAAACTTTATCAAACAGTTTACTATTAAATTAACAATATACTTTTAATTTTCACCTTCTCTTTTGAAGGTGTGTGGCAGATTTAATCGTTTAGCTCAAAGTGTCATGGCAGTCTTAAAATATGTTGAAAAAGTCTTGAAAAGGTCTTAAAAAGGTATTGATTTTTACTTATACCCTGGTTTAGAAATGTGTCCATTGACTGTGACTGAGGCAGAGGGAGAATTGTATAATGTCTTAATCCAGTTAATGAAATTTTGACCAAAACCAAAGTATTGGAAAGTGGAGAAAAGAAACGACCAGTATACTCTATCAAATGCCTTTTCAGCATCTAATGAAGCAATAACAGGTGAGTTGATTTTATAGTCCGTATTAGTTGCAAGATGAATAATCTTAAATAGCCGTCTAGAATTTTCTGAAGAATGTCTCCCTTTAATGAAGCATGTCTTGTCTGTTTGTACTATCGATGAGATGACAGAGTCTAGTCTAATGGTTAAAGCTTTAAAGTGATAATGGCAGATAACAGGAACATTTTGTGGGGTCTTTATTTGGTTTTAAGAGAAGTGTTATGAGAGCAGTGTTCATATGCTGAGGTATTTTCGAATTGCTAAGAATTTCAGTTAAAACTTTTTGTAATAGGGATGAGAGTAGCGGCCGGAAGTGTTTGTAAAATTCAGCTGGGTACCCGTCTGGGCCTGGTGATTTATTATTGGACATTAGATGTAAAGCTTTTGTATGTTCTTATATTATTGTTTTTTTCAAGTTTGTCTGCTTTGGTTTTGTCTAATTGTGGAAGATGGACATTACTTAGAAATGTTTTTCTTTTATCAGGAGAAGTGTTGTGATCTGGGGTGTAAAGATTTACATAACTTCTAAAAATGACTCCCCATTCATTTAGATAGGGGACTGGTCTTGTTAGTCCCAAGTAACTGCCTGGAGGCGTTACCAAGATGGCTACCAAGTGGCGGGACTTTGACGCAACTCTGTTTACTTTGCACTAGGCTTGGGCGATCTTCTCTATTTTTATATCGTCTAATCATGGCCTTCAATCGCTAATTGGCACAACCCTACATGTACACAGGGTATAATTAGAGTTTAAGAGTTAGAGTTTGTGTTTACTTTCACCGCCCTTTGTTTCATGCATGATTTCTGTATGTACTGTTAAATGATGGGCCTTAGTGCACTGTAAACAAACTCTTCTGCTGTGGCTCAGCTCTGATGTACTGACTTCTAACCAGCAACCAGAGCTTACTGTCAGCATATCTGACAGCATGAGTAGCTAGTGCTGTTTGAAAGTGTCAGTCAGAGACAGACAGACAAAACGTCAGACCTGGGATGGTTCGCCGCTTCTGAAGCGTCCTCTGTAACTTCAGCCAGTATCTGCTCTCACCAACGGCAGAATTTTGTCTTCCTAAATTCAAATAGTTTAGATTTTCGTTTTCCGTGTGCCATTTTGTATGTATTGATAATACGTTGGCATGATAAAGAGAGAAGAAAATGATGGATATTACTATTCCCATGAAAACAACAATATATAAGGGGATTGTCATCAACAGGAAAGACTACTGAATTCCATGTGTCCGACCATGTGGGCTCAGGCAGTGTCCCGAAGTGTGTACAGTCTGTTCTGAGGGAAGGCTCTATACGGAGGCAGTGACATGCTTTCATTTAGAGTTGCTCTGTCCCCAAGCTGCAAGCTAGCTCATGATTGGTGGATGGGTCTTGCCCTGACCTAGAAACAAGGAACAAAGACCAAGACATATACATACATACACACACACACACACACACACACACACACTCACACTCACACTCACACACGGTTCAACATGGATGATGCTCACTCATGTGTACAGAGTAGTATATCAGCAGACTACATTGTCTGCTGTAAGTGCTCTGTCATGCATGCTCAGAGGGACTCCAGTCGATGCCAACACAATTACTCATGCTTCAATACTAACGCGTGTTTAGTGTGAATTAATACTGTTCAATTACTGCCACTGGGACCTTTTGAAATTTCACATTTCATGGCAGTGTTTCCTATTAATTAACGAGACTATGGCGGCCCGCCACAGTCTAATTTTGTTCTGCCTTAGTTTCAAAATTAAGAAAAAATATTTTTACACTTCTTTTAGGATAGAAAAGCTTGCCTGGTTGAAATAAGAACTTGATTCATACCTGATTGGATCAGTTAATATTGTATTGAATATTTGTTTATACATATTCTGTGTATGTACAGTGTTTCCCATAGAATGACAGTGTAACTGGTGTGCGTGCAGTCGATATATGACTAGCAGCTATGTTGGCCTACAGTGTGCTAACATCGACAACCCAGCTGTTTTTTAACGTTAAAATAACTGTCCTTATTAGCTAGGCTACTTAGTGCTTACTAACTAAAAGTTTTTGAAGGTGGGTCCGACAGCGTTGTGTTGAACAGATGTGTTCATGATACCAAACATTCAATTGACTGACTGGTCCGTTGTCAATGTGTTTGCCAGAGAGAGACGGAGCGAGCAAGAGGAGGTTCTGAGCGAAGAAATGGCTTCGCTCAGCTCTGCAATCAAATGCTATTGAACCCATTTTAATAGTAAATAAATAAATAAATCGGAAATCAGTATGTGGCGGTCAGCATTGATAATGTGGCGGGCCGCGACAAATAAATCAGTGTATGGGAATGTGTATTAAGTACTGCTTTTATTGTTGACATATCTCGCTTTCTCTCTCTGTTCACAGTAATACAGCATGGATGAGATAGTCATAGCAGGAATATCGGGCCGTTTGCCTGAGTCCAACAACCTGGAGGAATTCTGGGAAAACCTCATCAATGGTGTGGACATGGTGACAGAGGACAACCGGCGGTGGACACCAGGTAAGATTCCTCATGAAGCTGGAATTGATTGATTGGTCAAGGTCAGAAATGACCAACAAAGAATGACAGGTTTGATTGATTGGTAATGCAATGTGAAATACACTATTCTCACTGAGGATGAAAATGCAGTAAAGACTAAGACTGTCTGCTGCTTATCTACCACACCATCTTTGTCTCCTTCTGTACTGTTCTTCATAAACATAATCTTTCAAAACCTAAAAACACACCGGACCCATACTAGAGAGTGAGAGTGTACTGTTTGTGTATCAAACACATCGGTTTGACACTGACGGATAAAATAGGTTGTATTTAAATGTTGTGATCAAAAATATTGCTAGGGACAATTCAGTTATTGCTTGATATTGGTAAGGACATGTCCCTACTAACGTCTGCGCCCTTGGTCAAATGTGTAGAAATAACCAACAGTTTCATAGAAAAACACTGCATGCATGCTGAAGGCTGCTCCGACAGTGATTATAGATTAGTGTGGTGTCAGAGCATGATAGAATGTGACCGATGCCAACAGACAACTGATGGATAAATTATGAACAGGTGATATTGTTTTACTGAAATGTCAGAACAGACATGAGGTAGCAATAAAACAGCCATAAATCTATAGACTAGTTACTTTGTGAAAGACCAAAGGTACAGCCTAATATTATAGGATTTTAATTAATATCCACAACTGTGCAGCTGATTGGAAAGAGGTAGAGAAAAGGCAGAAGTGTTTTAGTAGTGGATTCAATTTACACACAAATCCAGGGCCCTCTGCTTCAAAATTAGTCTGACACAACAGTGAAGACAGATTGTCGGAACCTTCTAGAATCTTTTGGCGACACCACTGGGACTTGGGAGCACTGTTTTTCCCCGCTGAAAAACTGGGCCAACAAAACATATTGTAATCATTTGGTATGTCCTGTCATCCAAGCTATGTGTGCGCAGTTACGCAAGAGAGCTTTAGCTGGTGCGCTTGTGCTAGATAGGCCTCTTAATGAGCTGGGCCGATACAAACATTTACAAAATCAGGCAAATAACTTTTGGACTGAAGGTTTGGGTCTTCTAATTATATTACTCAAAACTAGTAATTGCACTCTCTGCCACTGGCCGTGTTGGAAAGCAGCCTGTATGACCCGTTCACAAGCTGCAGAACTACTTTCACTTTCAATTAACGGCGATTAGAGCCTATAGTCTCTGCAGAACAAATGCAGGCTATACACTAAAAACAAAAATCTGTCCCTAACTTGTCCTTTAACCTTTTACTTCAGTGATTTTTTATTTTTATGGGAGTAATTTTACTTTTACTAGAGTAAAGATTTTCACTGCTTGACGGCCTTGTTGTATTGTAATTGTATTACCACAGTCAGCTAAAGGAACAGTTCAACATATGAAATACTGACTGGATGAGACAGGGTTCTCACAGCTCCTTAAAGTCTTAAAAGGTCTTAAATTGAAATCAGGGAAATTAAGGTCTTAAATTGTCTTAAATTTACTGTAAATTTGCTGTAGGTATTAAATTTGCTGCTGGTGCGTTTAAGGCTGGTGGGAAAATTGTCACGCACACTCGCCTAAAATGCCTTATTAATTTGTATGGTTTTCTTTTAGTAATTGACAATGTGAGACCTCGCCATTAATATAACTCATATGTTACCTTTACGTTAGCTGTAGACGTTGACGTCTGCCTGTCATATTGTCAGTCATGGCTGCAAGATTAGGAGATGAAAGTTAAAGTGGTTGGAGAAATATCCGATCGTTCTGTGTAGCTCAAACTGTAGCCTACATCACATCCTCCCCTCATTTGCTCAGGTCCAAAAATGATCTACAACTACAGGTTAAAATAACTTTCTAAAGTATGTCTTTAGGTGATTTGTTTTCCTCCATGGATTATTTACCTCTCTGCCGGAAAGTGAAACTTAAGTTTGGTTATTTTAGTAGTTTATATTGAGTTTAATACAGCAGTGTATGAGTAAGGGCTGAGCTTTATGGACAAAAATAGTAAAATCATTATTTAATCTGTTTCTTTAATTTTTATTATTATAAGTTTAAAGGCAGATTTTTTGCTCCTGAAGAAACCAGATGGGTTATTGTGCTTTTAAACTTTTCTTTATGGTCAGAACATGACAAACACTTGATGCCAAAAAGCAGGCTGGTATCAAACAGTGTATAACTTCACAAAGCTGAGGTAGAACATTCAAAACAACAAATATGCATGAGAAAAATAAAGTAAAATCTTTTTTCAGTCCCTTTTCCTCAACACAATAAATATCTTAATAGAAAAGAAAGTGCTAATTCGTTTATGAATCAAATGAATTAAATCAAATATTTATTGAACATTTGTATATTGTTATTGAGGAAGATTGCGTCACGATAATTAACATTATTGTTTTATTGCCCTTGTTCACGTTCACAAACGGACACGGTCAGTTCACCAAAAACCTGAGCATGATCAGTAAACTGCACTGTTTGAGCATGTTTATGCACAACACTGTTTGGACACACTGTCTAGGCGCCTGTCTGTGCTGTCAGACTTTTGTATTTTATTTGCAGAAGGCTGCGACCGGTACATATTTCCACCCAAGTAGTTGTTGTATGAGGATAGACAACACATTTGCATCCATGTGGTCATGGTGTCCCTGACATAGGTCGTTTTGCTGATTGGATCACAATCTGTCCTCAATGCGTCTCGGGTGCATTTACACCTGTAGGCCTACTTATGTGGTCAAGTGATACCCGATCACAATCTGATCACCCAAAATACATTTTAATGCCAGGTGTAAACAGCCTCTATGTTCCCCGATTCGGAATATGCAAAGTCATTCACCTGTGGTGGAAATAAAACTGCCAAATATGGCATTGCATCGTTCATTAAGAGATCAAACGCACGTCTCTTTTCTGTCAAAGAAATTGTTTAAAAATTTGAAGTCTTAAATTTATATTTGTTGAGTTCTTAAAAGGTCTTAAGCATTAAATTTGACTTTTCAAATGGTGCAAGAACCCTGTGAGAGGTGAAGTATCTTCAACCAAGTTGCCCTTGATTTAGGGGTGGGCGAAATGGCAAAAATAAAAGTATGTCTAAAGTATGTCTTTAGGTGATTTGTTTTCCTCCATGGATTATTTACCTCTCTGCCGGAAAGTGAAACTTAAGTTTGGTTATTTTAGTAGTTTATATTGAGTTTAATACAGCAGTGTATGAGTAAGGGCTGAGCTTTATGGACAAAAATAGTAAAATCATTATTTAATCTGTTTCTTTAATTTTTATTATTATAAGTTTAAAGGCAGATTTTTTGCTCCTGAAGAAACCAGATGGGTTATTGTGCTTTTAAACTTTTCTTTATGGTCAGAACATGACAAACACTTGATGCCAAAAAGCAGGCTGGTATCAAACAGTGTATAACTTCACAAAGCTGAGGTAGAACATTCAAAACAACAAATATGCATGAGAAAAATAAAGTAAAATCTTTTTTCAGTCCCTTTTCCTCAACACAATAAATATCTTAATAGAAAAGAAAGTGCTAATTCGTTTATGAATCAAATGAATTAAATCAAATATTTATTGAACATTTGTATATTGTTATTGAGGAAGATTGCGTCACGATAATTAACATTATTGTTTTATTGCCCTTGTTCACGTTCACAAACGGACACGGTCAGTTCACCAAAAACCTGAGCATGATCAGTAAACTGCACTGTTTGAGCATGTTTATGCACAACACTGTTTGGACACACTGCCTAGGCGCCTGTCTGTGCTGTCAGACTTTTGTATTTTATTTGCAGAAGGCTGCGACCGGTACATATTTCCACCCAAGTAGTTGTTGTATGAGGATAGACAACACATTTGCATCCATGTGGTCATGGTGTCCCTGACATAGGTCGTTTTGCTGATTGGATCACAATCTGTCCTCAATGCGTCTCGGGTGCATTTACACCTGTAGGCCTACTTATGTGGTCAAGTGATACCCGATCACAATCTGATCACCCAAAATACATTTTAATGCCAGGTGTAAACAGCCTCTATGTTCCCCGATTCGGAATATGCAAAGTCATTCACCTGTGGTGGAAATAAAACTGCCAAATATGGCATTGCATCGTTCATTAAGAGATCAAACGCACGTCTCTTTTCTGTCAAAGAAATTGTTTAAAAATTTGAAGTCTTAAATTTATATTTGTTGAGTTCTTAAAAGGTCTTAAGCATTAAATTTGACTTTTCAAATGGTGCAAGAACCCTGTGAGAGGTGAAGTATCTTCAACCAAGTTGCCCTTGATTTAGGGGTGGGCGAAATGGCAAAAATATCATATCACAATTTATTTCAGGCAGGATTAAGATTCATGATCTTATCATGATCCATTAGGGCCCGAGCACGATCGTGCGAGGTCCCTATTGAATTTGCTCGGAGATATATATATATATATATATATATATATATATATATATATATATATATATATATATATATATATATATATATATATATATATATATATATATATATATATATATATATATATATATATATATATATAATCTCAAGAACCCATAGCCTAAAGTCAACAGGAAGTCGGCCATTTTGAATTTTACGTCATATTTGGATGATTTACACACTTCGTACTTTAACAAACTCCTCCTAGGGATTTAGTCCGACCGACTTCAAATTTGTGCTGTGCCTTCTAAAGGCATTGAAGATGAAAAGTTGTGCTATTTGCAAGTTTTCGTCAATGGGCGTGTCCGTGGCGTGGCGTCAAAGATCAAGTCTTCGCCATGACACAGGAAGTTGTCGTAACTTCAGTGTATATGCTCACATTTGCACCAAACTGTACATGTAGGACGAGAGTCCCCCCTGAAGACATGTACATGCCGACATTCACCCACAGTCATAGCGCCACCTGCTGGTGACAGGAAGTGACTTTTAACGAAGCAGCCCCCGCCGCACGTTTCACCTACATACACAAATTTTCACTACCAGCCATGTCTTCCTTCTCTTTTCACGTAGACGCTCCGACAGACA